GCCCATTCCTGGAGACAACCTCTGGGGCCAGGAAGTTTGGGGTCCCACAGAGCACTCTGGGAGGGGATAAGAGGGGGAGGGCTTAGGAAGTCTGCCAGACCAAGGTCACCTGTGCCCACCCTGAGAGACTGCTCCAAGCCTCCACCCTCACCTGTGGCATCGGCCCCCTGGCCCCACCCTGGCAGCCAGCCCCAGGTCCCCGATCTTCACCTCCATATTCTTGTTCAAAAAAAAGTTACCTGCCAGTGGGAAGGAGAGGCACGGACATAAGAGGGGGAGCCAAGCCCCAGCTCCCATGGCCCCCACGGTTCCCACAGCTCCCCCCCGCCCACACTCACTGAGCTTTAGGTCTCGGTGCACAATGCGTTGCTGGTGCAGGTAGCGGAGGCCGCTCACCAGGCCCCGCAGGTAGTAGCGCACCTCAGGCTCCGTCAGCGTCCGCCGCACCTCCAGCACGTGGGCCAAGGACTGCAGGTGACAGGGATGAGCTCGGGTGTACTTAAGTGGGCAAAGTGAGTGCAAGGAGTCTGTGAAGGCACCACCAAGTTCAGCTGGGGGCATGGCTAAGGGCAGGAGGGACACAGGTGGGCACAGGTACGCTCAGGTGGGCCCAGGTACCACGATGAGTATGAGATGAGCCTGGTGACCACGGAATAAACTGGGCACAAGTGAACACAGGTGAGCCTAGGATGGGATGAGCAGGTAGGCCTGGTGTGGGCCCAGGGAAGTGCGGATGGAATGCAGGGGTGGATGAGGTCAGCACAGCAGGCATGGAGGTGTGCAGGCGCCCTCGCCGCCCCACCCCCGCACACCTTGCGGCTGCAGTACTCCAGTACCATGTACACATGGTCACGGTCAGCAAAGTGTCCGTGGAAGGCCACGATGTTGCGGTGTCGTAGGCGGCTGTGCAGGGCGATCTCCCGCTCCACCTGCAGGCACAGTCCTGTGTCCACACCCTGCACACAGTATCCATACCCACAGGCATCCTCCCGGGCCTCAGGGCAGGGACCTCTCTGGGAACCCACTGGGGGCCTGGGGACCCTGGGCACTGATGGGGGGGCCATACCTTCCCAAAGGGGCGCAGACTCCGGACCCCGGACCCCCCACGCGGCACCACCTTGAGAGCAAACACAGTGCTGGTGGACATGTCGGTCAGCTTATAGCAGCGGCTGAAGGCACCCTTCAGGGAGGGATTCACAAGCTCAGTGAATAGGTGGCCAGGCCGCTGCACACACACACACGCACACACACACACACCTGAGACGCAGACACACAACTCACACCCTCATCCCGGACACTCCATGCAACACCTGGGAACAAACAAACACAGGGACACATCCACTCAGGCACAGAAAGCAGAGAGATGTGCAACCCATTCAGACACACACACACACACACACACACACACACACACACGCGCGCGCGCGCCTGGCAACAGCAGGACAGGGTTTAGAGAAAGGCGTGGAGATCTGTCACACCCTCGGTGGTGGCGTACCCACACCCCTGGACACACAACCCGCCAAATACTGGTTCCCGCCCGCACAACGCGCGCCCTGCAGACGGTTCACGGCAGACCAGGCGCCCAGACCAACGCCAGACCCCAAATTCGCGCGGGCACAACACGCACAGAGACGGAGCCTGGCGCGCACCCCGCAAACAAGCTGGACGCACGCCAGCCCTCTACGCTCAGGATCCGCGTGCACAACCCGCCCCGCCCGGACCCCCGCCTGGCCCGGCCTGGCTGCGAAGTCGGGGTTCCGGGGCCCCACCTTGCCGATCAGCTTCCCGCGCTTGTAGACGCCCCGAGCCCCCGGGCCGGGCAGGAAAGCAGAGACCAGCTGGCGGCAACTGC